AGCTTAGTCTTTTCTGATATGTTTCAGTTTAGTGTATGACTAATAGCCAACTAGTCATAGCACAAGACATACCAGGCAAGATTCTGCACACTTACATGGATTAACTCACTTAATCTTTACAGCAATCCAGTGAAGTAGGTGCTTGGTGGCTGCCCATTGGAGCTATATCGTCAGACTTCACCAATTTTGAAGCTGACATCTACCATGACATGCCAAGCATGGCACCTCAACTAAGGGTGAAATGGGACCTCTGTGTTCTGTAAACAGTCAAGGAAGCATGACCTTAACCACTGCTAAAACATTTCCAATTGTTCCTTCACAACCATCCCACGTCTGTGATCCACCCACCACAGCTCACTCTCCTTAAAATGTACCTACACTGTGTTTCCAAAATGACCTTCATTAGGTTTCCTGGAAATTATAATCCCTGGTAATTTCCTATGTATCAAGACAGCGTATGTTCAAGAGGACAGCTATGCATAGTCTGCTTTTTAGCTTTGTTTCAGAAGACATCGATATTGAAAGACAGCCTTGAAAGATAGCATCCTCTTCTGCACATAGTCTGGCGCTTTCTAATACTTTGAGATTCTAGATGGGAACTTCTCTCTCCTCTTACCGTGAAATCTTTGCCATGATTTGAATAACTTTAACCACCTAACAGGAAGGGGTCCCTGCATGGGACTGGGTCAGCAGGCATAGATTATGATGACATTGACTTTGATCTTCCATCTTTGACCAATTTACGCAAGGGTAGAGTCTATGCAAGACAAATGAAACGGCTTTAAAGTTTTGAAATTTTAACCAGAATTTCTGAGCTGACACTGTTTCTGAACTAACACATCATGTGCTAGAGAGCAAGGCAGAGCCATGAGGCTGTTAGGGCTCTGTATCCTAGCAACTACCTCCGCACACACAGAACCATTTCATGAATGAAATCTATTTAATACAGGAAGCTCGTGTGTAGCAGGTCCCGGCTGGCTCTTCTGAATGGAGAGAGGAGGCAATGATCTTCTCTGAAGGGCCTTTTCCATCCTGTCATTGGAAGGGGGCACTGCAAATTAATCAGTGTATACCAGGAATCACTGTCGCCGTAGTGGTCTAGGTCCCAAGTGCTTCCAGACTCACACAAATTCCAGCATCAAGTATCTTAGGAAATACTTGGGAAACCCAGGCACTGAGAGACTTAAGTATGCTTGGCCAGGCTTGGGAGAATTAAAGTATCAAAGTCAGAAGTGTGCAAGGCAGTGCACACTGTATTCAAGCTCCAGGCTTAGAGAAAAAGCCAAGAAGTGGTGAGAGTAGATGTTCCTGCCTTTGACTGAAACAACTGAAATTTCTATATATTTGCACATTCCCAGAATTGTGAAGAAAGCTCTGAAAGAGGATGCTAAGCTCCTGAAGAAAGGTATCATTGCCTAAATTATTTCACAATTGCTGTTGGGGATTAATAACCTCAACCACACAAAGCAACAGAGAAACGCATTCTCAGATATAGCAAGAGCTTTCAAGACGTGTAACGACTGCTTCTGCTTCGTTTTTGTTTCTTCCTGGCAGGCCTAAATCCTGGTGATCTTTTCGTCACGAGCCCCAGCAGACAGGACAGCTGTGGAGGGACTGAGATGTTGTTGTACAGAGCTCCTCAGTGTCCACGAGAGTCTCCATAAAACGCAGCTTCCCCTAATCCGCAGGTAACGCTCCCTTCACTGGTGACTGCGTGGCCCTGGAGGCACAGAGCAGTCAGGCAAGGAGGCAACCAGACTCCAACGGTCAGGATGCTGCACTTCTTTTTCTTGGTTCTTTCTAAAAGTTGTTTCCAAGTTTAGCATTAGAAACCACGATATAAGAAAACCAACATTCTGTTCACTAACGGTTCTAGGATGGCTCAAATCTGGAATAATACTAAAGCTAAACTGAACACTCCATTGCTTCATGGAATATGGTGATTTCTTGAAAACCCTTTAGGAATTCCTTGAAAGAAAGCACATTCTTTCCCTTGATGGCCCTAACTGGTAGCCAGCGTGGAATGTGAACACTTTAACACAACACTGGCCATAGTCCCGGCTGAAGGGTATTATTGGCTTTATTTTAGCAACAGGACTGGGATTTGGACCCAGACAGGTAGCAACTCTTCCACATTTATCTTCTTTGCCACTAAGAGGAATTGTAGATCACAACTATTTATTACTGGGGGACAGTTTCAGTCACATGGTGCATAAAAAAGGTCGTGCAGCAATTTCTAAGTCAGGTTTTAGAAAGAAAAAAAAACTTTTGCATAACTCTGGCTGAAAACAAACAAGATCCCCATCTAGGAGTGACTCCAGTTTGCACTCGCTGGGAAGCTGACCAAGCTTGGCCGGTGCTGGAATCAGTGCTTCGCCTGTCCCCTGCCCAGAGTGCCCGGCCCAACCGGCTGACGCTGTGCCCTCCCACAGCCGGCTCGGAGGTTGCACTGCTTCCTGAACTTGCATTTACCAAGAATACTTATAAAAATGATGCAGGCTGAGACACCAATAGGAGCACCTCCCTTTGCAACTGTCGTTTGTTCTGTAGGGCAAATAGACCTTGAGAATTCATAAGCTACTTGCCAGCAATTTTATTTACTGCTGCCGCACTTTCTTTAGCTTAAACAGATGCCATGCAAATACTGGATTTCAGTACAGGAAGATCAGGAATGATGAGAGCACCAAAGTCGGTGAGGGTCTCCGTTGGCTCAGCTGGCCAGCACTCACGTGACTCGTGACATGGCCTCGTCTACCTGGATCTTGTCAGAGCACAAAGCATTCTTCCTGCTGGGCCAGGCTGGCTGCTGAGGTGGCCTGTCTCAATGCCAGGGGCAAGTAGAACTCGAATGGGGGGAAGGGAAGATAGATGAAGTCACCGTATCTATTTAGAGAGGAGAAAGAAATACTATCCTCTGAAATGCAGGGGTGACAGGGTGTGAGCTGGGCAGTTATCAACCACCACGAGACCCAGAGTGTAAAGTAAGGGGTTTAGAACAGTGACTTGCAAGGAATGAGGTTGCAAAGAGGCAGAGTCCCAAAGTGACATCCAGACACTGCACACTGCAAGAGGTCTGCAGAGTTATGCAGTGTGTCATCGCACGGTGCGGTGCAAGGCACCACGTGGTATGACCTGATCAAAGAGACTCAGTCAAGCGACAGAGCCCAGGGTACCTTTACTGGGCATTCTGAGCTAGATCCATTTCTCACGCTATTTCACGCCATCTCCATAACAATCCTGAAAGGACGTTTTATCTCCCACTGATCCTCCGAGGCAACTCAACCCTGAAGAAAGTAGTGTGTGTTTGAAAGGAGCCACATTTGCTTCTAAAACCTGTGTTTCTTCTACTTTGAGGCAAATCTTCCCAACAACTTGTCTCTACCCTGTACCCTAGGTTGTTTGGTACAGTGCGCTTCAGCAAAGCCACTTGCTGGTGCCAAGGAGCTCTGGGCGCAGATTATTTCCTGAGACCCTCCAGCTAAGCACAAGATGTTCTTTCTTTCTCTTTAAATAGTAGCAAAGTTTTATTAAAGGTAGAGAAAGAAACAGGTTCTGCAGAGCAAGTTTGGGCCAAGGAAAAATAGGGAAAGAAGCTCACCCTACAGCGTGAGGGCAGACCACCACACAAGAGGGAACACGGCAGCCTAAAATGTTATTTCTGCAATTTCTCCGCTTTCTTGGGAATCTGGGTTCTGCTATTCTAGTCCCTGGTTGCAAGTCTGGCTCCTCCCATCACCCATCACATTAGCTGTGCAAGGGGAAATTCTCCCATTGAAGACGCTCTGGTCTTCCTGATTGAACCGTGACCAAATGCTTTTACCTCTGCTTCTGACAGCAGGAGTCTGTGGGGTCACCTTTGGCTTTTGTCACCCCATTCCTTTTGATGTTATTATCTGGAACTGGGTTAGATTAGTGGGCCAGGAAAGGACTTTGCTGAGTGTACACGATGAAAGTGACATTGCTGTACTTACTGGGGACCTGGAGAGAATTAGCGTCCAGTGCCCTCTTCAGACTCCAGAGGGTTCTGCTCACCTGTGTAGTGAGCCTAACTGGTGACAGTCCTGGGCTCTGATGCCTCTAATCAGCAGCTGGGCTTGGACCTGTTCTCCTCAATCCTTTTGTTAGCTCCTGCCTTCAGGAGTCTAGAATTATTTCTGTATTTGCCTTCATCTACCTCTTTCTGGAAGCCAGGCATCATCTCTAAAGAGGAGGAAGAGGCAGCCACATGTGCCCTGGAGTGGACAGGAGTGGCTGTCTTGTCCTCTTGTCCAAACAGTGGTTTTGACACCACCAAGAAGGAAGACAGTGAGAGATGGAATGTTTTTCAGACAAGCGTCTTAGGCAGGATGATAACTTGCATTTGGTGAAATTCCTACTTTCCCTTGGTGAAAAACCCATTCTGCACAGGAGAGGCCATGGCTTACTCTCCATTATCATTTCTTGGCCGTTCCGGGAGTCACAGTGCAGCTGTCACTGAGAACCCTGGCGCTGCACCAGAGCTTCGGAAACGGCTCAGAACACGACGCTGTTAATTTTCACAAGGGTAGAATCACCTTTGCTCACCTCTGCCTGCCGTTTTTACTAATTTGTAGCCACTTTTGAATGCTTACCCTGAAATAACTAGAAAGAAGTCTTTTTCCTTCTTCCTGATTTAGAGACAGTTTCAAAAACAAGAACAGCCTCCACCATAGGTTTCCCCGGTTTCCCATTTAAAGCTGGAGGCCAGGGATTCCTCCTGTTAGAATGGAGAGGGGCTTCCCCAGGAAACTCCGCTCAGCTCACTTCAAATGACACACACACGCACAGGACAGCTGGGAGCCTTAAATGTTATGCTCGGGATAGATTAGCTCTCGTGGCCAGTAGGGAAATAAAAGCGGTTCTGAAAACAACAACAAAAAAGCAAATACGTGTACCCAAAGATAAACCAGAAAAACAAAAACAGGAACAAAACAAACCCCAGTGCCTAGCAGGCATGGGTTCCTTTGCACGTGATCACTTACCCACACAGGTGGAAGTCCCATTTGGACCTTCAGGGCAGGTCCAGCGTGGCTGGGCTGAGACACTAACAAAACTAATCTTCAGCAGCACAAGGCTGAGCAGGAGCAGCATAGTCTCTACGGGCTCACGCTCTCAGTGCACGGAAGGAGCTGCTGTGCCACTGGGACCGCAGGCCAGGGACATCTTTTACTCTGTCACTCTGTTGTTTCGCTGCCACCCTCCAGAAAGTCCTTCAACTCAGCAGAGCACCTTGAAAAGGCTCCGGACAGATTTCTTTATCTTTGTTGTTTTTGGAAGCCAGGGAGAAATACCTGACACTCATATGACAAATTTCACAGAGTTTAACAGCAGCCGCCCTGAGAGGAGAGGAAAGATCTTAAAGAGAAGAGAGAAAGAAAGTTCGAGCCTGGAGATCTCCTCCAGACTCGGTTCCTCCTTCTGAACACTAGAAGGGCTCCCCTTTCCCTTTTAAAGCCCCGTGGCTCCTCCTCCTCCTCCCTGCATTGACACTTGAGTGAGCCTGTGTTTGCAAAGGCCAGTTCCATGAGACAGGAGAGCAGGGCCAGCTGCCAGGGAGGTGACAGCTACCGCTTGCCAAGGCCAGCTCTGCTGGACTAGGGAAAGAGCGGTTCAGGGCACGGGGGAGCTAGTGCAGGTACCTGCTGATTACTGTCTGAGTTTTAAAATCTCGCAAGAGGTTCAGTTAAACCAGTGTAAACCAGTGGTGAGTGACCCCACTAATAATTTGATTTTATGAGACTTGATCATTCACATGAACAGTACCGAACAGAGTCTAGCTTCAGCTCCTGATTTGAATGAAATGTCAGTATCTGTGCACTTTACAGGAGCTTCATTCTACAGCAGAATTTGGAAGATTATTCTTTCCAAACCAAAAGGAAATCCCGGGAGCCAAGTAAAGAGAGCCCGTGTGCAGACACCTTGTCACTTGTAATAACACACCCTGCATAGCCCAGAGGGCAGGGACAGGGGTGCAGGGTTATTAGAGTCACCCTGGAAAAAATAGGCTAATTGTGCAAAAGCTGAGAAACACCAGGAAGCCTGGGCAGCTGAATGCAGTTCTTTCCCTGTCATCTATGCCGTTTCTTTGAGGCAGGACAGAAAAAAATAAGGACAGGTGGAAAGGATGCAAGGAAGATCAGACTTTTATAACTGTACTTTTAAAGAAATCAGAAGCTTCGGGACTCAGAAGTTATTCAAACCTCTTTTCCCTTTGGGGAACTGCAAAAGAATTCCTGAGTCTTAAAGGTGGGATAAGCTTGTGAATGGGCCCTGGGCTTATGCTTTTCACCTGTAAATTACACTGCCTCACACAGACTTGTGCCATGGAGAGAGGAAGCAGCCTCTCCAGGCCCGCAAAGCTGAGCTGCAGACAGACACGTGAGCTCTGCACTCTGACAGAGCCACCAGGTGGGGATCCTGACAGTTAATGGGAACTCCCAGCCAGGATTGTCCACCCAGAAGATACCCCTGAGCCCAGTAAATAGGTCCACTCCAGATCACAAGGCATGCCTCTCTGTGCAGGGCCCACACTCTAAATCTCTGAATGTGTCCTTTAAATTCTGCTTCATAAATCCCCTCATGCCTCTAACTGACATGTCTTTAACATTCTTTCCCACCATAGGAGTCAGTAAATCTGCAGCTTCATTCCTGGGGCAAATGGGGTGATGGGGGTCCCTGAGCCATGCCCAGGGAGAGGTGAAGCCTCTCAGCGACAGAAGATGAAAGCAGACGGCCCAGGACCTGCCACCTCTGGCTCTCCTCAGGATCTTGCATGGTTCACAAAGAGCCTGCAGAGCCTGCACCCCAGACTGGAGGCACAGGGAAATTTTCTACCAATTCACTGCATCCTGGAAAAAGACATTCACTGAAGTAAGTTGCCCTGAGGCAGTGTTCCAAATGCATCTAAGGACAGAAAAAGCCCTAGACACAAAAATAACATCAATTAGAGAAGAGAACAGAACAGGACAACTCAAAGGCCTTTATGCATATTTACCTGACTTCTGGGCGTTTCTCAAAGACGGGCAGTTGAATCATGACTTCTGTTTGCAGTGTGCCCTGTCCAGAGCTCTAGAGAGGCCTCAGTGTCCAGAATGGTGGTGGGAATGTTCCACTGCCTTCTGGCTTTGGCTCAGAAAGAGCATCTATAAATAACCTGTAATGACCCATCAGGGTCCCCTTCCTGTGACCAAGTATCCCCCCTCAGCAAAACGACAGCAAGGGGAAGGCCCACAGGACCATTCTAGACAGCTAAGTTAGGTGGGAATGTTACAGGTAGCCAGGGCAGGAGACAGCTGTGGTTGGAGGCGCTTTCACTGAAGGCCAGGCCTCAAGAAAGAAAGGAACTGCTCACCCGTGTACTTCCCCCAGGGATGAGCAGCAGTGGTTGATGTTCCAATAGGCATCAATCACCTTGGGGTGGGGATCAAACCTCCTTAACCCACCCCTTCCAGCAAAGTCCACGTCCATCCTTTGTGCACCTGCTAAGTGACGTGCTTCCCAATTTGATCCCCATTTAATCAATATTTCCCAAGCAACTATACTTGTTGTAATCCTATGGGTTCACCATGGTTTTGTCCCACCTCACACACACCTTGTGACTTCCTACTGGATCAATGTATCAAGCTCACTTTGCAGCACATACACTATTGGATTGATATTACCTAAAGTGGCTGTACGTGTAATCTTACTGATTATCGTGTTGTCCCACCTTGAACCTAACTCATCTCATGGCTTTGCTCAAAAAACACCCTTGAGAAGTGGGCTTGATGGGCACCCCACTTCCCAGGCCCCCTCTGTCCCTCTTAGATATTCTTTTTTGTGTGTTTTTTTGGTGGCACTGAGGATTGAACTCAGAGCCTTGTACGTGCTAGGCAAGTGCTCTACCACTGAGCTGCATCCCTAGGTCCCCCTTTTATCCCCCTTAGACACAAGCTTTCTTTCTCTCAATAATTTTTTCCTGCATTCGATCTCTGTTGTTCCTAGAATTCATTCCTCAATTTTAGAGAACAGGAACTTGGCGTTTCAGCCATCTAGCAGTTGGGAGTTGTAGCTCCCCAATATCAGGACAGCCCAGTGGAAAGCCATGCACTCCCAGAGACCGATATGAACATAAGCCCGAGGACACTCCAGGGACATTCTAGTTGCACCTGGAATCTGTCAGTATTTTTGCTTTAAAGGATTTGCTCTCCTAAAAACATGTCATCTGTGCTAAGCTGTCTTTGTGTTGATCATGAAGATACCGCCCTATGCCTTTATGGGGTTCAGGGGGCTACAGTGCTTGCCGGCTGATGGCTGATGTTGAGGACCAACCAGGCTAATTCACACATCACCAACTGAGGCACAGGGAGTCAAAGCAAAGAACAGACCTGGCCAAGGTCTTCAGGGATGTTTAATAAGTTCATATTCTTCCAAATAAAACTGAGTCTTCTTGGGGAAGCAAACATCTTCCTTCTTCTAAATTTGGTCAGAAATCCATTATAATCTTATGGGGTAGATTGCCAGATATGTTTAATTCTGGAATTGGGTCAAAGTCAACTATTTCATCAGTTCATGAGTTCTATGTGACAGGACACTGTATGTCCTACAAACAACAGAAGTCATTGTCCTGCACTTCACGAGCTCACTGAGGTGATTATCAAAGAAAAGTAAGTACAAGCAGTGACTGACAAACATAATGAATGAGAGATGATGGTATGTGCCTGTAATCCTGCGTGCTGAGAGGCTGGGGCAGGAGGATCACAAATTGGAGGGCAGCCGGAGCAATTTTGCAAGACTCTGACTCTAAGAAAAAAAAAAAGAAAGACAAAGAAAGTGAATATTTAAAATTATTTTTAATTACAAGTGCCTTTTTTGCACAGGAACTAGTGTATCAGTCCCATGAAATATTTTTAAATTACAGTAAAAGATACACAGTCAAGAAAAATGGGATAAGTGTACTCTGAGTGAGGGAATATTTTGAATACTTTAGCAGTGGGATTAATGGCAATGTGTCTCTTTTACTATAGTAAAATTTCAAAATTAAACATTCACTATATTTTGATCATCCTGCATACATCAAGTGTTTAGAGCAGTTTCTGTTAAATAAAAATATTATAGTGAGCCCTCGTCCACCTTATTGGTCAAATCTGGCACTTTGTGACTTCTGGCTTTTCCTCAAAATCAAAGTTACCACAAAAGGGAAATTTCTGAATGAATTCAGGCCATTAAGGCAGCCAAGACAGTGCAACTGAAGGAAAGCAACCTTTAGGAAAGAAGATTTCCAGAACTGCTGCAGAAAGTGGTCAGGATGACGGGAAAAGTGCGTTTGAAGAAGGGCAGCATTTTGAGGCAGATACATGTCCATGCATCTTTCATTATATTACATTTTAATTTAAATATTCACTGTACATTTGGATCTCCCTGCCGAGGAGCTTGCAATAGGCCGGTCACCAAGTATCCTAAGTGTGCCTGGAGAGAAGAGGTGGTCACAGCTCCCTCTGTGGACTGGAACATGCGGTGAAGCTTTCTGCTGTCCCCTGGGTGCCTTGGATGGCCACTGAGAGGGAGAATAGCCACAGTGACGGCAGGAGGAGGAGGAAGAAAGGAACAGTGTGCTAGACCCTTCACAGCTGCAGGTCCCGAGCTGGAGGGGCCCTGCTGGCCAGGAGACAGCTCTGGATGCATTGCAGTGTTATGGGGCAGCAGTGGCCCGAGCAGGAAGACAGGCTGCTAGCGGCACATTAAGTCACTGTTCTGAATTTTCAGCTAAGAAGTTCCCATCAAGACCCAAAGCCCCTCCTTCTCCTGGGCCATACATCATCACACCCAATCACTCATCCGTCACCAGCACAGCCAGGGACAGGTGGCATCCTGTGTGTCAGGCATACTGAACGCAGACGTTCAGTTTACGTTACCTCTGGTCCTTGTCACTGCTATGCCAGGGGAATGCGAGTTGTCACAGCCGATTCCCAAATGAGAACACTGAAGACCAGAGAAGCTGAGTACTTTACCGGAGATCACACACACCGAGGGAGGCCAGGAGCTCTGAGGTCATTATTGAGTCCTCCTCAGGTGGTGCCACTGCCCTGAGGGAAAGGCTGGTGCCAGGGACGGGGCAGCGATGCTTTGGCAAAAGTGAAGGTCAGCGCTCCACCTGCAGAAGCGGAGCACAGCTGGTTCACGGGTGTCTCCATCGAGGAACAACGATTACCCGGGAAGAGTTGAGAATATTTTCCTTTTTTCTGAAAGAAAGTAGTTGGCACACATTTGCCATTTCATGTAACTCAGTTGTGCCAGAAACAGAAATGGCATTAAAGGAAAATAACTCGGAAGGGGCATGGGTGTAGGAATTAGCCACGTAGGGCAAGTTACAATTGACTGAGGTAAGAACACCAGATGTAAAAGGCATATTGAAAGAAAGAGGGAGCAGTTTTGTTCCTCAGCATTGATGCAGATGAAAACT